TTTTGGTTCGTAACTTTCTCTAAGCTTCCTAATCCGGCCCTTTTCCTAAACATCTTGACAATGTCTCTTTAGTCGACAGGCAGGAACACTCGAGGCCTTTTTAGTGCCATTTCTTCGGGGGGGAAAGAGGGGTGTTTAAATGGAAGAAACAGGCCTTTCCCCTTCCCTTCCACCAGCCGCCAGATTTGGGCTGCCGTTTGACTGCTTTCTGCCCTTCTTCGTGTTTTATGCATTGAAATAAAAACAGAACTGTGAGCAAAATCGTCCTGAGTTCGGAGAGGCTGCAGCGACAAGGATGGGGTGCTTTTCCTCCTTTGCTTGGGCCGCTTTGCCCAAACCGAGCAGCTGCTGTTATCACCTTCTGAATCTTGTCACAGAAAGAACCAGCTTCTTCTTTGTGAAAAGAAAAGAGAGTAGAGATGAATCCATATTTGGCAGTCTGCTCTGTCCCTAAATTGCTGTCGCCTCTCCAGGGAACTTGAAGCAAAGATCCAGCTCAGTTTATTCTCACTTTTGGCTTTGTTAACAGTCACTCCGCCTTTCACCCGCTCAGTGTAGCTTAGTCAACATGTCCTCTTCCTCATCTTCCTTCCTTCCTTCCCTTTCCCCCATCACTTCTTTGCTTTTCCTTCTTTTTCAATCACCCCTTTTCCCTTTCTTCCTTTTCCTCCACCACTCATTTTCTTTTCCTTCCTTTCGTTTTCCTCATCACTTTGTTCGCTTCCTTTTTCCTCCATCACTCTCCTTCCTTCTGTCCTTCCTTCTCTTTTCCTCCATCACTCCTTTTATTTTCCTTCTTTCCTTCCCTTTTCCTCCATCATCCTTTTTTTTTCCTTCCTTCATACCTCTTTCTTCCATCACTCCTTTTCTCTTCCTTCCTTCCTTTTTCCTCCATCACTCTTTTTCTTTTCTTCCTTTTTTCCTCCATTACTCCTTTTCTCTTCCTTCCTTCCTTCCTTCCTTCCTTCCTTCCTTCCTTCCTTCCTTCCTTCCTTCCTTCCTCTGCCTTCCTTTTATTCCATCTTTTTTCTTCCCTTATTCTCCCCTCCTTTCTTCTTTCCTTCCTCAATTTTTTCTTCCATTCTTGTAGGTCCTTCTGTCCTTCCTTCCCTCCCTCATTCTTTCTGCTTTATTCATTCCATCTATCCATCCACCTTTTTCTCTTTTTTTCTTACCTTCTCTTCCCTTCTTCTTTAATCAGGCCTTCCTTCCATTCGTAGAGTTTTCTTCTCTCTTCTCCCATCCTTCCATCTCCTTTACTCATCCATCTTTTACTTTCTTCCTGTTTCCTTCCAACCTTCCTTACCTTCATCATTCTTTCTTCTTTCCATCCATCCATCTGTTTCTCTCTTTTATTTCTTCCCTTCTCCATCCTTTATTAATTCGCCCTTCAATTTTTGGAGTTCCTGCCTCTCTTCTCTCCTTCTTTCTGCGTCTTCCTTTCCATACATTCATCCTTTTCTCTTTTTTCATCCCTTCTCTTTCCTTTATCGGTTCTTCCATTCTTGTAGTTTGTCTCCTTTCTCTTCTTTTTTCGCTCCTTCCTTCCACCCATTTATCCTTTTCTCCTCTTTTCTCCCTTCCTTCCTTCGTCTTTTTAGTGACTGAAGGATATAAAGATGGCAGATTTTAAAAGGAGGGCAACCAGTCCAATCCAAACAGCGAATTTTATGGAAAAGACTTCCGGAAAGAAGCTTTGCACCATGCGGACATTCACATCACGTGACATTTCCCCTTGTCATCCCTTTTTCTTCTTAATTCCAGACATCCTCTAAGAATAGATCCGATTGAGACAGAAAGGCAGTGAAGTAAATGCTAGGAAAGTGTTAGTGATTTGGTTCCATTTTAACTATTGTTGACGAAGACAGGCATTGAGCCGTAAACAGCGAAATGAGAAAAGAAAGTAACTGCGGCCTTGCTTTTGAGGAGTTCTCTGGGAGCGAATCCAAACCAGCTGATAACAACATCTGCACAAAATTGCTGGAGATATGATCAGAATAACACAATTACCCAAAGTGATTCTACTTGGAACAAGACACATTTCCTTGGTGAGGCTTCATAGATATGTCTCTGGAGAGAAAAGGAATCTATGATGGGCAATCCCAGTTAGTCCTTTTGTAGCAGTAAAAGCAGTTTGATCTTCTTCAGAGAAAAGGGCAATCTGAATCTGCAACCTGAGACTCTTGGCTTGAAAGAATCTCCAAATGTACCAGATCTGGGTTGAAACACCTTGCCTGTAACTTTTATTCAGCATTTAGAAATCATACATTGACTTGGTACCAAGAAGGCACATTCATTCTCTCATGCATTCATCCTCACTCATCTTCATTCAGTGCCTCCTCCTGAAAAAAAAGGTATATCAAAAAGGGATTACCACCTCACCTGCTTCATAAGAAATCTACGACAAAACAGGAGCTTTTTTTGTCAAGTTCCAGGATCAGAGAAGCAGACTGCGAAAACAGGCAACCTGCCTCAGGGGAGCGTGCTTGCTCCATCCATGTTTCACATTTATGCAAACAACCAGCCACTGCCAGAAGAGACAGAGAATTTAATATATGCTGATTATCATGCCATCATTGCGCAAGCAGGGAGCTTTGAATATTTTTTTTGTATCAGGGGTGACTTGAGAAACTGCAAGTCAATTTTGGTGTGAGAGAATTGACCGTCTGCAAGGATGTTGCCCAGGGGATGCCCTGATGTTTGATGTTTTTTTACCATCCTATGGGAGGCTTCTCACATGACCCCACATGGGGAGCTAGAGCTAACAGATGGGTGCTCACCCCACTTCCCAGATTCGAACCACCAATCTTTCAGTCAGCAGTATCAGCCGGCACAAGGGTTTAAACCAGTGTTTCCAAACCTTCCTAATGCAGCGACCCCTTAATATAGTTCCTCATGTTGGGGTGACCCCCAACCATAAAATTATTTTTGTTGCTACTTCATAACTGTAATTTTGCAGTGCTGCGGAATTCAAAGAGGTACCAATGAAAAGTGAAAGGGAGAAATGTGCCAAGAGGAAGAAGGCTAGTCAAGCCAATCCTGACTGGGACCGCCTTTCCATCTGGGAAAAGGGAAGGCAGAATTCTCCCACAGAGAAAAGAGTGACTACAGAATTAACATCACTCTTTGCATTTTAGGAAATCATCCAAAAGACTTTATGTGACTTCCATAATGGGTTGAATGGGAAGCATGGATGGAGCTGGCACAATGCATAGTTCTAGGTGATGATATAAATTCTTTGGGCCTTGATCAAGAATCTCAAATAATTATTATATAAGAATAAGAATAATATATTTTATTGATTGGCCCTTAGGCTATATCACAATACCAAACCAAACACCAAGGTTTGATATTTATTTATCGTGTCAGAAGCAAATTGAGAATACAGTTATAATGCATAGAAAAAACACAAACAAAATTTAAAAACTTGGCATCATACTAAATGTCCTTTGACCAGTAGCTGGCCACTTGGAGTGCCTCTGGTGTTGCTATAAGGTCCTCCATTGTGCATGTGGCAGGGCTCAGACTGCATTGTAGTAAGTGGTCTGTGGTTTGTTCTCCTCCACACTCGCATGTCATGGACTCCACTTTGTAGCCCCATTTCTTATTTATTTATTTACTTCATTTATATACCGCTTTTCTCAGCCCTTAGGCGACTCAAAGCGGTTAACAACAGCAATTTCAATGCACACATTACAAAACAATTGAAGCATTTAAAAACAATAGCATAACAACAATTAAACATCAATATAACAAATCATTCACGTCGCATCAATAGAATCAGAATCCAATCTCATTTCTTAAGGTTAGCTCTGCATCTCGTGGTGCTAGGGCGCAGTCTGTTCAGCACCTTTCAAGTTGCCCCATCTTCTGTGTGCCCAGGAGGGGGTTTCTCGTATGGAATCAGCCACTGATTGAGGTGCTGGGTTTTAGCCTGCCACTTTTGGACTCTCACTTGCTGCGCTGTTCCTGCTAGTGTCTCTATAGATCTTAGGAAGCTATTTCTTGATTTAAGGCATTGGCATGCTGGCTGATGTATTTAGCATGCGTACTCAGCAGCAGAATAGTAAAGCGCAAGGGTAGATGTCTTCACTGTTTCTGGTTGTGATCTCCAGGTTTTGCCAGCCAACTTTTGTATGATATTATTTCTAGCACCCACTTTTTGCTTGATAGTTAAGCAGTGCTTCTTATAAGTCAGAGCATGGTCCAGAGTAACTCCCAGGTATTTTGGTGTGCTGCAATGTTCCAGTGGGATTCCTTCCCAGGTAATCCTCAGAGCTTGAGATGTTTGTCTGTTCTTAAGGTGAAAAGCACACGTATGTGTTTTAGATAAATTAAGAATCAGCTGGTTTTCCCTGTAATAGGCAGTAAGAGCACCTAAAGCTTCTGAGAGCTTCTGTTCAATCATTCAAAACTCCCTGCTTGAGCAGTGATGGCACAATCATCAGCATAAATGGAACTCTCTGTCCCTTCTGGCAGTGGCTGGTCATTTGTGTAAATGTTAAAATTGATGGTGCCATCAATAAATATGATGAAACTGAATATCTACATCATATTTCCTTATCACCCCAACAACAACAACAACCATAATAATAATGACATCTTCTTCATTAGGCATATTATATTATATAACATACATAAACACACAATCTTCTTTTTTTGCTTATCATAATGACTTAAATGTACAAAATATGTTGTCACTCTTTTTTTCTCATCTTCAACACAACGGTGATAGGCCCAAATGCATAAGCTATCATCATGCCGTAAGAGACTAAACCTATTATATTCAGCAGCAAGTAGAAAGGTTTAAATGGTCAAATACAATAATGAAAAAATGCAATACCTACTGTCACAAATTCAAATTGGCATTTAGATAGATCCAGTGATTTCAACTCTATAGTATGAATGCCTCCTTTTAGCAGAGTTGAAGCATCATTCTGGGACAAACAAAACCACTGTCATTGAGGATATGGGAATCTCTTTGTGTTTTTTTCCTGCAGCATTTCCATGTTCTGACCCAGTCGACGATGAAGGTATGGAAGTTTGTGGCCCTCGCCTCAATGCTCCTCAGCTCCATGCTGGTTTGTAGAGACCTTTTCCGCGGGAAGGCCTTCTCCTTTGTCCGCTCTTCCTCTTCCTCATCTGGTGGACAGAAGCGGCACCCGAGGGACCTGGGCCACCGGGCCTCGCTCATCTCCCAGTGTAAGTTTGCTGGATCCGCTCCACGTTTTCATCCAAACTCTGAGGGCATGAGTGCAGCCCCTTGGAGAGCTGCCTTAATTCTCTTCCATTCCAGGTTTTGCTTTCCGTGGTGCTGAACCCAAAGTTGAATCTGTGGGATTGGAAGGTAGAGTCAGTGGGATGAAAGTGAATCTGTTCTGGGCTTTGCTCCAGATTTACTATTTATACCTCTTCAGCTCTCACTCTCAACAGTGCAACACCATAAGACTGTGTTGAGTCCTCTGCTTTACACTTTGTACACATATGATTGCACCCCCATACTGTACACCATAGCAATATCATTCCCAAATTTGCAGACGACACAACCATGGTGGGGCTTCTTATTTCTGAAGGGGATGAGCCTACCTGTCAGGAGGAGGTGAAGCGATTACTATCGTGGGACAGGGATAATAATCTGGTTCCTAACATCTATAAGACCAAGGAGTTCATAGGAAGAACAGACCTTGGTCATAAATGGAGACCAAGTGGAGCGGGTCGCCAGTTTTAAGTTCCTGGGTGTCTCTGTTAAGGAGGATCTGACCTGCGACATTCATAAGCAGAGGCAGCCCTAGGTAATTTTTAATGGTAAGCAAACAGTATTTTGCCCCCGCCCCCCAACTAATCACTGATATATATTTTCTGTTTGTCGTGGGAGTTCTGTGTGCCATATTTGGTTCAATTCCATCATTGGTGGAGTTCAGAATGCTCTTTGATTGTAGATGAACTATACGCATATGTCAAGGTCTATTTTCCCCCAAGAGCGCCCCTGGGTAAAATCAACTATACTGCAAATGCTTACTTTGTGTAATGGGTTGAGCCGCCCCTGTTCATAAGGCAGTGTTGGTGAGGAGGGCCCTGCAGAGATTGGACTGTCTGAGACTTCTAAGGAACCTCCAAAGGCCATCCAGTCCAACCCATAAGAGATAGACAGATAGACAGGAATAAAGATAAATGGATGGATGGGTGGATGGATTGATGGATAGACAGACAGACAGACAGGTAGATGAATTGATGAATAGAGATAGATAAGGATGGTAGATGGATGGATAGATAGACAGAATGATGGATGGGTGGATGGATAGACAGATAGAATGGTAAATAGAATGGTAGAAATGGATGGATGGATGGATGGATGGATGGATGGATGGATGGATGGATGGATAGCTGGATGGATGGATGGATAAATAGATAGAATGGTAGATAGAATGATGGATGGATAAATAGAATGGTAGGTAGGTACAGTGGATGGGTGGATGGATAGACAGACAAAAAGATAGATGGATGGATTAGTATATAGAAAAGTCAATAGCTAGATTAGTAGATAGATAGAAAGGTCAATAGATAGGTAGGTAGGTAGGTAGGTAGGTAGGTAGGTAGATGAATGGGTAGATGAATAGATGGATAGACAGATAGATAGATGTCTAAGTAACCAACAACTGAATGAGAAACTGCTGGTGACTTTCTACCGCTGTGTTATAGAGCGTGTCCTAACCACCTGCATATGCACCTGGTTTGGTAGCTGCATATAATTGCAGATAGGAGGCACTCCAAAGGGTTAACACTTCTACACAGAGAGTCATGGGCTGCCCTCTTTCTCCCCTCTTTGGATGAACTTTAAAATTCCTGCAGCCTTAAGAAAGGTCAGAGCATTCTTGGGGATCCATCTCACCCGGCCAATTCTCATTTTGAATGATTGCCAACTGGCAGATGGTACAGGGTGACAAAGGCAAGGACAAACAGACTGAGAGACAGCTTTTAACCTAGAGCTGTGGCTATGTTGGACTCCATGGCTTCGCGTTGATGTTGTATCGAGGGTGGTAGGAGTTTGGAGAGATGGGTGTGTTGTTCTGTGATGTGTGCTGGGGAAGGCATCTAATTTCATTATTGTGCAATGTACAATGATAGTAAAGTTATTCTAGTCTGTTTTATTGGGTTGAGCCTAATATCCCGAAATGAGAGCTATAACAAGGTGCATCGAGGAGACTCTTCCCTCTCTCTTCCTTAAGAAAACTTTACTTGCTTCTAGCTGGAAGATGAGTCCAGAGCAGAGTGGAGGGTGAATCTTGGCACCACAAGGAAGGGAGGGAATGAACCCAATATGTTCCCAGGCTCAAAGCTGTAGGAAGGACTCAATGAAGCCTTGCAAATTGTAGCTAAGCTGGAGATTTATGCCTACAAATGAGTCCTTTAAAATGGAGATCCTACAAATGATCCAAGCTGGCCAAATTGTCTGTAATTATCTTTTGCAATGTTCAATATTATGAGGCTCATTGGGCCCGGATTGAGTGTCCATAAGATCTTTTTATGAGAATATTTTATTAAACCAACAAACGAACGACTCAACCCACACAGTGATGTCATTCACATACACCACTCCGACCCAATCAGCTTTATTTAGCCAAGGGATAATCCCCACAGCAGCAGCCTCAGCCAGCAATGAAATCCAGACCTGACCAGAGGGATTTGGGATTCCTTTGATTGGAAACCAAACACTTGGCTTCTTTGGAAGCAGGTTAGATTCAGTTGTGTTTTTCCCGCCGTGGGGCTTGGCTTTAATGGTATGTTTATAGACGGAGCAGGATGATATGAATGGCGGTTGATTGGGGTGGATTTGGGCTTGTAATGGGATGAGAAGTATGCCTCCTGGAGAGCATTCCAGTAGCATTCTCTCCTGATGTTTCACCTGCATCTGTGGCTAATGACATCCTCAGAGGTTTCTTCAGAGGTCTGCTGAAAATGAGGCAATTGGAGTGTATATATCCCTGAGGAATATTGTCCAAGGTGGGAGAAAGAACCCTTATATTTGTAAAGCAAGTGTGGATGTTGCAATTAGCAAGCTTGAATAGCATCGAGTAGCCATGAGGCTGCAAAGTCAATCAGTGAGGGTCTCTGAATACAGGTTGCCTAGCCTTTGTTGCTTGGCGGCACCCTCTGTTTGGGAGATGTTAGCTGACACTTGATTGTTTTCTGTCTGGAGTTCTCCTGTTTCTGAGTGGTGTTCTTTACTTCTTTATTCTGGTGTAAATAAATAAATCCCACCACCCAGGAAAAGGGGGATTCCAAACAGCAAACAATCAAGTGCCAAACACCTCCCAAACAAAGGATGCCTCCATGCAACAGAGACCAGGCTACCTCTATGCAGAGACTCCCACTGATAGACTTTGCAGCTACAAGGGTATTCAATGCTATTCAAGCTTGCTAATTGCAACATTCACACTTGCTTCAGATAAAGGTTCTTCCACCCTGGACATTATTCCACAGGGATATATACACTCCACTTGCTTCACTATCTCTATGCAGAGACCCTCACTGATTGACTTTGCAGCTTCATGGCTGCTCAATGCTATTCAAGCTTGCTCATTGCGACTTTCACACTTGCTTTAAACAGACAAGGGTTCTTTCTCCACTTGGACATCATTCCACAGGGATATATACACTCCACTTGCTGCATGAATTCTATGTAGACATCCTCACTGATTGACTTTGCAGCTGTTAGACTACCCAATGCTATTCAAGCATAGAATCAAAGAATCAAAGAGCTGGAAGAGACCTCATGGGCCATCCAGTTCAACCCCTGCCTAGAAGCAGGAATATTGCATTCAAATCACCCCTGACAGATGGCCATCCAGCCTCTGTTTAAAAGCTTCCAAAGAAGGAGCCTCCACCACACTCTGGGGCAGAGAGTTCCACTGCTGAACGGCTCTCACAGTCAGGAAGTTCTTCCTCATGTTCAGATGGAATCTCCTTTCTTGTAGTTTGAAGCCATTGTTCCGCGTCCTAGTCTCCAGGGAAGCCGAAAACAAGCTTGCTCCCTCCTCCCTGTGGCTTCCTCTCACATATTTATACATGGCTATCATATCTCCTCTCAGCCTTCTCTTCTTCAGGCTAAACATACCCAGCTCCTTAAACCGCTTCTCATAGGGCCTGTTCTCCAGACCCTTGATCATTTTAGTCGCCCTCCTCTGGACACATTCCAGCTTGTCAATATCTCTCTTGAATTGTGGTGCCCAGAATTGCTCATTGCAACATCAAAACTTGCCTCAAACAGACACAGGTTCTTTCTCTCACCCTGGACATCATTTCACAGGGATATATATGCACTCAATTTGCCTCATTTCCAACAGAACTTCTGAAAAAGATCTCTGAATATGTCATTAGTCACAGATGCAGACCAAACGTCAGGAGAGAATGGTTCTGGAACATGGCTATACAGCCCAGAAAACTCACAGCAACCCAGTGATTCTGGCTATGAAACTTGTGTGAGTTGTCTTCAGACTGGGTTATGTCTTTAAAAGGCGGTAGGCTGCCTTGATTCTGAAACATGAAGGCGAGGGATACTAACGGCTGTTTACCTGCTTTGTCCCCTCCCTCCCTCCTTCCTTTCGGACTCCTCCAGACAGCAGCTTGTTTGAGCGCTACACGGAGGGAGAGGTCCGCCAGCTGGTCTGGGCCCTGGTTGAGCGCTACCGCCAGTCCATGAACTCGGGCGGGCATGAGCTGCCCCTCTTCGCGAAGGCCGGTGGCCCCAGGATGAAGAGGGCCAAGGCCCGGCACAAGCCCTGCACCCTCAAGGAGCTGGAGGTAACTGTCAGCGAGCTGGGCTTGGGCTACCAGTCAGATGAGACCGTGCTCTTTCGCTACTGCAGTGGCACCTGCGAGACGGCCCTACGCAACTATGACCTCTCCCTGAAGAACCTGCGCAGCATGCGGCGCCTGCGGAAGGAGAAGCTCCGGGCCCGGCCCTGCTGCCGGCCCCTGGCCTATGAGGATGATGTTTCCTTCTTGGATGCCGGCAACCGGTACCACACCGTCAATGAGGTCTCGGCCAAAGAGTGTGGCTGTGTGTGACGGCCGGAGAGAAGCAGGAGCGTCCGGTTGCCCGTTGAAAGAAAGTCTGCCAACACAAAGGAATGGCCAAGGAGGTGGTCGAGTCTTCTTCTCTAGAAGTGTTGAAGCAGAGCCGGGTGTGTCTTCCCATGTGGCAGAAAAGGGTCCGACTGGATGGTCTTTGGGTGTCCCATCCTACTCTTGTGGAAAGTGGGAGTCTGGTGGAGTCTTCATCCTTCTCTGGTTGTTTCAAAGCAGAGGCTGAATTGTTAACTGTCAGGAGGGCTTGGAGTGTGTCTTCCTGCCCGGCAGAAAGGATTCAGGCTGAATTTTCTTATAGATGAGCCCAACATTAGGGCGCATCCATCATTCCACCATGAAAGAGACCTGTTTCTGGTCCTGGAGGTTCAGTAGGAGGACCGACATCAACCGCATCTTCATCCCAAGCTAAACTCTTAATTTTCACTTGTTTTATAGTTTTCTCATAAAGTACAATGTCAGGAAGAAGTCACTCTGGGTTTCCGTTGTTCTGCCATAAATAAGGAAGTATGTCTCTGGTCTGGACATTTTGGCAGCCTCGACCGCATCTTCATCCCGAGTCAAACTCCTAATGTTTTGCAATACAAAATATTAAGGATATGCAGAGTCTTCTGGAGCAGCCATAGGGAGGCCTATATTTAGGCGATTTTGAGCTTTGGAGCATGGCTTCTTTTAAGTCGAACATTTTCGGAGGAGACACCAAGGACTGTAAGATCATAATCTTTGTGTACAGTTATAACAGCACTGTGTACATATATATATAGTGTCCAAGCTATGTATACCAAATGCTTCCATTCCTTAGCGGGCATTGCATCAACTTCTTTGTGGGACTTAGGTTGAAGTGAGGTTTTCTCAGTCAAAGAGCACAAATATTCGGATCCTTTTAATACCAAATGGTGGAATGAGATAGGGACTTATTTTATGTTTCAAAAGAAGACTATAAACATTTAAATATCTTGCATTTTGTTATAATCCAGTCGTAAAATCGGGATTCTCAAATACAAACTAGAAGTTGTTGGGTCTCAAGAAGTTGATGCAATATCCTTCTTAGAGCTTTGGAAAGTTCCTTTTTCTGTCTCTATAAAATCCTAGGAGTCCAAAAAGCCAATTTCCCCAAGTCTATATATATATATATATATATATATATATATATATATATTATTATTATTATTATGATACATTGCCTCTATTTATTCAAAGTAACTTATGATATTTATTTAGGTCCTGTTCTACCTAATGCACCAACGGCTCTACGACTTGTTTCCGACCTTCCCCTTAATTTATTTCACGTTCATGTGACCTTGCGCTATGTTTTTTAAACAAAATAAAACCCTTTTGTATTTCCAAAACAAAAGGCAGCAAGAACCGATACCCTTTTTAAAAAAGAAAAGAAAAAGAAAACAATAAATGAATGCCTTAAAGAGTCACTGACGTGAAGATTAAAAGAAAAGAGACAAGGAAATCCAATGGTGTCATGTATATTCATTCCCTCTTGGTAGGTTCGATATTTTTTGCAGTTATTTGTTAAGCAAATGAATCAAGGTCTAGAAATGGGAACTCAAGAAGTCATGCAGTCGGACACCTGGGTTCAGTTAATTACCTAAATGATAGATAGCTTTATTTATTGATTTATTTAGAGTATTTACATAGGATTCAGATCGATAGATAGATAGATAGATAGATAGATAGATAGATAGATAGATAGATAGATAGATAGATAGATAGATAGATAGATAGATGAGCTGTGCAAAGAGGCTGAAATCCTATTAGTAATTCATTTCGGAGATTCGGATGGCCCTCGCTTCATTTCATAACGATATGGAGGAGTTCCATTTTGTTTTATAATCCAAATCTTCAAAGCTTTGTGATTATTTCATTAAGATTTGTTCCATTAGCAGCAATGGAGAGAATTTTGAGGCTCATTTCTCTGTCATTTTTGCAGCTATTAGAATGAAACTTGGCACACTTGGAGGCAACATTGACAACTTTAAGCCTGCTGTTGCACCTCAGGCCTGGAAACATCTATGATCACAGCACAGTATATGCAAACAATTTATTGTAAAAACCCCATAAAATATATGAAAAAACAGGAATAAAGAAAGAAGATATATAATCCAAAAAAGGGTTTGCAATAGGTGATAGCCAAACGGTAATCCAAAAGTTTCATGCAGATCCCAGGTTAACACTGTCCAGGAATAGCCAAAAAATCACAAGTACAACGTAAGTCTACAAGCAAAAGGTATACTTAGTAAACCTTGGGCAGGAATACAAAAACGAGAACATAGAAAACTTCCAGGATACTTAAATCCAAAACTGAGGCTTGGCTTGAAACAAGAACCAGAGAACTCAGGCCTAGCTTCTCACTTGAATGCTATCTTGCCTGAACTAAACCCTTAGGTAAACAACTTGTTAATTAATAGGCACCCATGAAATCATTCCTTTTCCCAAAATTTTCTCCCCAACTTTCCCATGTCATTGCTCTGACTGGTGCTGCCTATTTTCTGCTCTATTCTGTAAATGAAGACTTTTGTAGATCTGCGTAGCTGCAGGTGTTTTTCCATGGGAGCATTCAATATCACTTAGCTCTTTGCCCGACTCCTAATGTAATGTTGCAGTTTTTAGCTCATCTGACTGACCTTGAAGCCCTGCATTTTTTGAGTCAGATTTCTCCCAAAGCGAAATCATTTCCCTGACTTGAATTTTCATCACTTTGTGCCCCAGGAAATCCCATAATCCCCTCTAAATAATCAGTGAACCCATCAGCCTCAGACTAAACTACAACACCTGCTTGGTTTCAGAACATTTCAGTAATCCACTAATTTTTAGGGTTTTAAAAAGTTCCATTAGCAGCAATGGGGAGAATTTTGAGGCTAGTTTCTCTGTCATTTTAACGGCTATCAGGATTAAATTTAGCACACCTGTAGGCAACATTGATGATTTTAAACCTGCTGGGTTTCAGAACATTTTGGTCATATACTGATTTTTAGGAGACCTACAAAAGGAGACCAGGTTTGCAGAAAGCTGTGTGATTGGCTGACAAGGAAAAAAACGACAGCATGCAGCTGCCTTTGTCAATGACTTCAGCCCACTTCCACCCCAGACAATTACAGAGTATGTTACATTGAAAAAAACACAGCTTGAAACATTCCAAAGCAACAAATCTTTACTAATCTTTCTGTAACGTTTCGGGGACTTTCATTTTGTTTCGTAATGCTTCAGAGGGGGTCCCGTTCCGATTAGTAATTTGGAGATTTGTATTAACAAATCATATAAATCTCCAAATTACGAAACAGACCCCTCAAAGCTTTGCACAGCCCTAATAGATATAGACAGATAGAAGCAGATAAGTACTTGAAAAGCCCCTTTAAAAGTTTTTTTAAAAGGATGCTTCACACTATTTAAATTAATTTGACGTCAGAATGACATGGAAATACGAAAATGTATAAGCCACTTTTGCCCGTTTTTCCAGAAAATATCGGGATGCCCAAAAGGGAGGACTAGAAGCTTGTGTTTCATTTGAGCAGCAAAGAACCTGATCTCTGAGTCTGGAGGCTTTTTCTCTTTTTCGGTCTTCGCTGTTTTTTGGAAGAAAGCAAAAGCCCGGAAGATTTATACCGTTTTGGGGGAATGGAAAAAGGCTGCGTTTACATTTCAGCTTTATGCCACCCAGATTTCTGACGGCTCTCCCACCCAAAGCCACCGCTCTGTAAATATTTTATGAAACCGGTCTCTGGAGTCCCATAAATCTTATTTTCTTGAAATGAAGAGAGGGGCTTGCCAAGCTAGATGCCGCAATATTGGCAAAATGTGGAATGTTCTGCAATGTGTGATTATAAAAGACAGAAGGAAATTGCTGGGCCCAACATGATGAAGGATTGGAAAAGCAGGGATGGGATCACTCTGTACTCTTTAGGTTATTGGATTCCAACTCCCAGCATCCCCTCACCAGCTGGAACGACCTCTTCTCAATGTAGGTCCTTGCTGAAGTTTGGCTGTTGAATTAAGAAGAGAGGAATAGGAAAGTGAAAGGTTGGAAGAAAAATATCCAATGTGGGGGTAAAGGTGGCATATAAAGGAGTAAAGGGAAGAGTATGAGGGAAAGAGAGAAAGGAGGAAAAAGGAAAGAGTGAGAGAGAGAAAGGAGGGAAAGGAAGAGAATGAAAGAGAGGAGTAAAAGGAAGACAAAGAGGAAAGAGGAAAAGGAAGAGAATGAAAGAGAAAGGAAGATAACAAAGAACTTGAGAGAATGAGTGAAGAGGAAAAGGAAGAGAATGAGAGAGAAAGGAAGAAACAAAAATAATGGAAGAGAAAGAAAGAAATGAAAGAGAACAGGAGAGAAAGAAAGAAAAGGAGGAGAGAAAAATGAGAGAAATGAAAAGGAAGAGAAAGCGAGGAAAAGGGAGAGCAAGAGAGAATGAAGGAAAAGGAAGGAGAGTGAGAGAGAAAAGAAAAGAATAAGAGAAAGGAGAATAAAGAAGAAAATGAGAGAAAGAATGAAAAGAGGAGAATGAGAGAGAAAAAGGGAAAAGCAAGAGAATGAAAAAGGAAGAGAGAAGGATAAGGAAGAGAAAGAGAAAAGAGAGAATGAGAAAGAAAAGAGCAAAGGTAAGAGATGAGAGAGGAGGAAAAGGAAGAGATTAGAGAGAGAGAAAAGAGGAAAAGGAAGAGAATGAGAGAAATGAAAAGAATGAAAGAGAATGGAGGAAAAGGGAGAGAGAAAACGGGAGAATGGGAGAGAAGAGGAAAAGTAAGAGATGAGAGAGAGGAAGAAAAGGAAGAAAGGAGGAAAAGGGGAGAATGAGAGAGAGAAAGGTGGGAAAGGAAGAGAATTAGGAAGGGAAAGAATGATAGAGAATGGGGAAAAGAAAAGGGAGAAGGAGAAAAGAAGGGAAAGAGAGGGAAAGGAGAAGTGGGAGATTAGAGAGAGGAGGAAAAGGAAGAGGAGAAAGGAGAGAAAAAGAATGAGAGAAAAGAGGAAAAGGAAGAGAGAATGAGTGATCAAGGGAAAAAAATGAGAGAATGGAAGATAAGAAAATGAGAGAAAGGAGGGAAAGAAGAGGAAAAACAAGGAGAGAGGAAAGAGAAAAGGATAAGGAATAGAATGAGAGGGAAAGGAGAAAGGAGAGAAAAAAAGAGGAGAATGAGAGAAAGAAGGAGAACTTTTTAACTGTCCACTCAGTGGGGAAAAAATTGTATTATTGAGGCTCCTGGTTTCAATCTAAATGTTCGGGTTGCTCTCTATGCTGCTGAACCGATAAGTAAATTTAAATAGATAAATCATATGAACACATATTTTCCCCAACAAAGGAAGGGCCCTTGTCAACACCTCTTTAAATAACGCTGCCCAAGGCCCAAAATACATGTATGAAAGCGCCTTCCAAGCCAGGACACATTGGATCTGCTCTTTGCCTCCTTGGTCCCATCCCGAATTATAGCGCAATGAGGAAAAAGGTCCCAAATTAATTCCAGAATCGCAGCGTCGGCCTGATGTGCTTCCACATTTTTCGCAGTCCACTGGTGGCATTGGATGCAAAACAGTAGAAAGAAAACTTGAGAAGTCCTGCCATGTGTTGAGGCCGGCCGACTTCAATGGGGCCTATCATTACTTCAGGCCTATAGTTTCTTGAAGCCTCCTGTTTCTTGAGGCCTATCCGTTCCTTGAGGCCTAGTTCCTTGAGGTCTACTGGCTTCAATGAGGCCTATCATTTCCTCATGCCTTGTTCTCCCGAGGGCTAAAGCCTCCTCAGGCCTAGTTTCTTGAAGCTTGCCAGTTTCACTGAGGCCTATCAATTCCTCAGGCCTATACTTTCTTGAAGCCTACCAGCAACCTTAGGCTTTGAATTTTTTTGAGGCCTATCAGTTCCTCGAGTTCTAGTTTCTTGAGGCCTACCAGCTTCGGTGAGGCTTATCATTTCATCGAGCCTTGAGCTCCCAGCTTCCTCGGGCCTATAGTTTCCTTAAGCCTACCACCGTTAATGAGGCCTATTCCTCGGACCTTGATCTCCCTGAGGCCTAAAGCCTCCTTAGGCCTAGTTTCTTGAGGCCTACCAGCTTCAATAAGACCAATCATTTCATCAGACCTATAGTTTCTTGAAGCCTATCAGCAATGAAAGGACCAAGACAGTGACATCTCCAACCCATCTTCTGTTTGGGTATCAGCCAGCATGCCAACATTTTAAATCAATAAACAACTTCCTAAGATCGACAGAGATACTTGCAGAAACAGCTCAGCAAGCGAGAGTCCAAAAGTGATAGGTAAAATCCCGGAACCTCCATCAGTGGTCGAGACCAGATGAGAAACTCCCTCCTGGGCACACAGAAGACAGGGAGACTTGGAAAGCAATGAACAGACTGCACTCTGGCACTACAAGATGCAGAGCCAACCTTAAGAAATGTTGCTACAAAGTGGAGTCTACAACATGTGAGTGTGGAGAAGAGCAAACCACAGACCACTTATTATAATGTAGCCTGAGCCCTTCCACATGCACAACCTTCTCACAGCGACACCAGAGGCACTCTCAAGTGGCCAGCTTCTTGTCAATGGAAATTTATGCTAAGTTTTTAACTTTGTGGGTTTTTAATACATTATAACTGTATTCTCAATTTGTTTCTGACATGAATAATAATAATAATAATAATAATAATAATAATAATAATAATAATAATTTTGTCTTTGATTTTTTAGCCATTAACGCTCTGTATCAAGCCGGCATAAATCCAGTGTATGTGAACATCATAAAAAGCATCAATACAGGGTGAACAACGAATATAAAACTGTCGTCAGAAGTGTGTCATATTGGAATCAACAAATGAGTGTATAAAGGAAACAACATTGCCTATACTGTTTGTGGTGGCTTCCAGAAAATTAAATTTAAAGGCGGGATTTCAAAGGACAGCATTTTCTCATCTCCATTTTCTCATCTCCTCTTCGCAGATGATTTTGGTGTCTTTTTCGCCAAAAATCTGGAAGATTTACAACATGTTCGCCAACAAACTGGAAATGAAGGAAACAAAACGGATGAAAAATGAGCAGCGTGTCCAGGAGATGAAATTGAGGAAGTGACTGATAATAAGAGATAAAAATCAGCAATAAAGAGCTGCATTAAAGAACCAGGGAACACAGCATGGTCAGTGAGATCTATGAGGCAAAAAGAAAATGGGCAGAGCATTATCACATGAACAAAAGACAACCAACGGACGTGGCAACTCACGAACTGGATAACAAGAGACCACAAATAGCCCTTGGGCAGACCCCATATTTGATGGGACGAATGGATGGTTAATCTATTTGGCCAGAAATGGAAAAGAAAAGCACAGGATCATATATGTTGGCAAAGTGTAGTTTACGTGAAGCTCAAAGGAGTGGATTGATGACAAATTGGATAGGATTGGATTATTATTATGTTTATTTATACCCCGCTTTATCTCTCCTTAAAGGTAACTCAAAGTGGCTTACATTAAAAGTATGACCACATAATTTAAAATATACAAATATGTAAACATTAAAACAGAATTTAAAAATTCACAATTTAAATCAGTTGAAACCTATTCAAAGCTAAAAACCACACCACCTAATGACAGTCTCTACCCCCTGGGGGACCTCAAAGCAGCTCATAATTATATGACACAACCCAAATAATTTAAAAAATGACTGATACAAAATTAAATAGCAGTTAAATATCTGTGTCATAGCTATAAGTTGAAATGTGATTATGATATAACAATAATATTTGCATATGAAGATATTTGCATATATATGATGAGAGATCTTGACATGTTTAGACCTGAGTCTAAACATGCAATGCATTCGTGTTTCATAAACACCTTAAAACCATCACCTGGCAGGTAAATTTATTTACTTCACTTCACTTTATGTGCTTTATTTTTAGAAATTTTGAACATGAAACAACAAAGAAGCCCACAGAGATGCCCCTCTGTTTTCCAAATCCAGGTAAGACCTCAAGACATCTTACTTTGCCAACCTTTGAGTCCCAAAACAACCAACAGGTCCAACTAGTGGGGCTCCACTTTACTTGAACCACTTGCTCAGTTCTGGAACCGTCTGGTATTGAACTGGCTTCTTCTGTAAGGCCCAGCATGCTTTGCAGAAATGAATGGCCCAAAAGGTTTTCCCAATGGGCTGCAGCCTCGCACGCCAACGGAAGTAACTCTGGTACTGTGTCGTGTTCCTGTCCAACTCTTGTAAGAACTTGGCCAAGTCTTGCGCAGAGGGGAAGTCATTGACATGAATGAAAGAGTCTGGAGGCATGTGGCGCTCATAGCTCTTCCTCGGAGGCCCAAGGACAACAGGCACCGCCCAGGAGAGGAAGGAGTTCAACCAGACCTTTTCGGTGATGTAGTCCTCATGGATGGCATTCTCAAAGGCCAGGTAGAACTTGTACTGGGATAAGGTAGAGAGATGATTCTCCCGAGGGAGAGGAAGGTGACTTTGTCCATAGACATCCACCTGGAGGTACTTCTTCAATTCACTGTAGTACTGCACCCGGCGAGAGCCTGGTTGCCAATTGCTTACCACCCAAGCTGCCAGCTTAGACTTGAGTGGGACGGTGACATTTCGAGGCTGAGGGAGGACCTCCATCCAGCCATAAGGAGTGAAGATATCTGAATCTCTGCGGTAACTCATGGTGAGGTTGAAGTGGTTGTCCATGAAGTAAAGGTTAGGGGAGGCGGAGGGTGACTCCAGGTTGAACCAGACCCAACGCTGGGATGGCGGTCTCGGCTCTTGAGGGAGGTTCTTGGGGCTCCTGCATGCTTCCCGGTGGTGAACGATCACCACGTCCGCCTTCTGGTACCAACTGCGATCGGCCGTGAAGTTGCAGTCAGGGAGGCCCAGCAACCGGGAACACTTTTGCATTGAAAAAGACCCACCAAAAGGCCAGGTCCACAGCAAGATAGTGAGGTTGGAGGACCACTTGTCAACCGGAGGACTGTTTTCCAGACCTTTTGGCCGGCCAACCTCAACAAACCCAGAAATCCCTTGGTTTGCTTTTTCATGTAGCCGGACATAAGTAAAGAAGATTGCACCGAAGCTGAACTGGAGGATCAGGAAGACCGAGACCCTCCAGCAAGTTATATTTGGCACCAGTCCACTCGAGTCCATGGAGTGACCCTGAAAGGGAAGAGAGATCTGGGAAAATAATGTGCATATAGAAACCTCCTTTGTTCATCAAGCAGTGAGGAATCCCTAAACCCAAAAGAATACCACAGTATTGTAGAGCTGCAGATAAGTTGGAAATGTGTGGTCTGCTTTGAGTCTAAAGCATAAAGGAACAGCTATCCAAAGTGGGCAAGATAAATGTCAGCAGCTTGAGTAGGCACTTGTTTAAAGTTTGGACTAAAACTCAAAGTGGATTAACACTTTTACAATGAAGGGAATGCGGTCCAGTGGTAGTGGTTTGAGCATTTGACTACAACTCTAGAAACTGAGTTTTGGTTTCCGGCTCATCCGTGGAAACCTACTGGGTGACCTTGAGCAGGTCACATATTCTCAGCTTCAGAAAACCTTATAATAGGGTCACCATATGCAGGTGGTGCTGCAGGTTAAACCACTGAGCTGCTGAACTTGCTGACCAAAAGGTCAGCAGTGCAAATTGGGGGGCCGGGTGCCAACCTAGCAGTTCGAAAATATGCAAATGTGAGTAGATAAATAGGTACAACTCCGGTGGGAAGATAACAGCATTCCATGCAGTCATCTTGACCTTGGAGGCGTCTACAGACAATGCTGGCTCTTTGGCTTAGAAATGGAGATGAGAAACCCCCCCCCCCTCCCTCCCCCCAGAGTCAGACATGACTAGACTTAATGTCAAGGGGAAACCTTTACCTTTAGTTTTATATTCCAAAAATGAGAAAGGAAGAAAAGAAAAAGAGTGAGGAAAGGAAGAGAATGAAAAAGAGAAAGGAGAAAAAGGAAGTGAAAGAAAAGGAAGAAATGCAAGAGAATGAAAGAGAGAAAGGAGGAAAAGCAAGAGAATGAGAGAGGGGGGAGAGTGTGAGAGAGAGAGAAAGGAGGAAAAGGAAGAGAATGAAAGAGAAAGGAAAAAATTGGGAGGATGGAAAAAAATGAGAGAGAGAAAGGAAGAAAAGAAAGAATGGGAGAGAAAGAGAAAGGAGGAAAAGGAAGTGAAAGAACAGGAAAAAAGGTAAGAAAATGAGAGAGGAGGAAAAAGCGAGAAAAAAAAAGAAAATGGAAAAGGAAGAGATTTAAAGAGAGAAAGGAAGAAAATATAGAGGACGGGAGAAAATGAGAGAAAGGAAGAAGAGAAAGAATGGGAGAGAAAGAGAAAGGAGGAAAATGGGTAGAATGAGAGAGTGAGAGAAAGGAAAAGAATGAAAAAGAGAGAGAAAGTCAAAAATGACTTGAAAGGCACAGAATAACATCAAAATTCAGTGAGATTCCCGACTCTACACCCATACTGGATGGCAGAATTGATGTTGTTCATTTTTTTTATCCCTGTTCAACAAGATCAAAGCACATGGACCCACATATGTATGTACTGTATATATCTTTAATAGGGCTCTTTGCAAAATGTAAGCGGATGCAGGATGGCAGTAAAAACTGGCCAAATACAGCCATAAACATACAAAAAACAAACTTGGAAATGGAGTTACTCTACTGACGAAATTAAAGCGATTTAATCCTGTGTTTACAAAGGTGAAATACAGTTGATGATTAAAAGCAAAAAACATCCTCCTGAACTTTGGCCCTACCTAGAATCTCTCTCCCAAAATGCTAGATAGATGAGCCAATAATTTATTGATTGAGCAGTTGATTTGAATCATTTCTCTAAGACAGTGGTTTCCAACCTGTATTCTGTGGACCACCAGTGGTCCACAAGAATGAAAATGTGGTCCGCAGCCTCACAATTACTACACTGCAATGGCAATGAGAGTGACTGGTCTTGCAAAACCCTCTTATAGTATTGAGGCAACGGGAAGAAGTTGATTATACTACCACATCAGCACTAGATTACTAAATATGGTTTTCAGTGGGGGAGCAGATGGCGACTTCTGGATGGCATATGTTCTGTATCAGAAACTAGAGATGATGTGGTCTATCCTATGCAATTTTCTGAATCAGCATACCAAATAACTAAACCAAATCTAGATTTGACCAAAAACTGATTCGTAACCCTTTTAGTACTAATGGTGGAGAGTGGTCCCTGGTCAAAGTGGTCCCTGGCCAAGTGGCCCCTAGTTTTTTGTTTTTTTTTTTTAAAAAAGTTGGGAACCACTGCTCTAAGATCAATGTGGCTTTATAGCAGGGAGAAAAATGCCAAATTTAATGTGCAGGGTACTAAACATAATTCATACTATTAAAAAAATTAGCAGCCGGCTTACTAGCTTTGGATATATATAAGGCCTTTAATAATGTTTCTTGGACCCAATTAAAATTGGTACTGGAGAAATTCAGATGTGGGGAAAAATTTAGAAGCTTAATTGATAAACTGTACTCAAAGAATTATGCCTCAGTAATGATGAATGATGACCTAAAAGAAAAAAATAAGCATAACCCAAGGTACAATACAGGGATGCCCTCTTTCCCCAATTCTGTTTGCAATAGTAATGGAAATACTAGCCAATGTAATTGGAGAGGAAGTGAGTATAGAAGGAATAGGATTGAAAGAAAAAACATAAAATAAATCTATTTGCAGAAGATACTCTTTTAACATTGGAAAACCCAATACAACAGTGGGAAAATTTTAGTTTACTTAACAGAATTTGGGGAAATAACAGATCTACAAATTAATTGGAACAAGTCAGAAATGCCATTATTCAATTATCAGGAAGAAGAGATTTTTAAAAAGTAAAGTAAAAAGAGGAGAAAATAAAAATCAAAAAGTCAATTCAATACTTAGTAATAAATATATCTAAAGCATTAGATAATTGAGGGATAAATGATTTAATTACATTAAGAAAGGAAATACATACAAAATAGTTAGAATATGCTAACTATTCTCCCACCTTGGACATTCCACAGATATATAAACCTCACTTGCCTAGTTTCCAACAGACCTCACAACCTCTGAGGATGCCTGCCACAGATGTGGGTGAAATATTAGGAGAGAATGCTTCTGTAACATGGCCATACAGCCCGGAAAACTTGCAGCAACCAACTAAACTATCATGGTTTGGCAGGATAGCATTGATCAAAATGAGGATATTACCTAAATTAAACTTTTTATTCAGGATGCTACCTATAAAAATCTTGGATCAAGAATTTAAAAACTGGCAAAATATGTTATTGCAATGGGAATTTAAAAAACCAGAATAAATAAAAGCAAGTGGTATAAACCACAAAAAAGGACAGACTAGACCTTCCAAATATTCAAATATACTACCAGGCCAGTCAAGTAAGGTATATAGTGGAAAGCTTAGCAAAACAAGGAAAATTGGAGTGGCTATAAGAAGATCTCCAGCAAAGGATCACCGCCTTGTCGGGGCGCTGGAGCTTGAGCACCTCAATGATGTCATGAGCGAAACCGTGAAGGGACACCCAAGACGGGACGGTTGTGGCAGAGAGGTCAGACCGCGTGATCCCTGGGGAAGGCAATGGCAAACCACTCCAGTATCCTTGCCAAGAAAACTAAATGGACCAGTACAACCAGAGATATGTCGGTATGCCATTGGAAGATGGGACTCCCAGGTCGGAAGATGGCCAAAATGCTACTGGGGAGGAGCAGAGGATAAGTTCAACTAACCCCAGATGTGATGACGCAGCTAGCTCAAAGCCGAAAGGAAGGCTAGCGGCCGACGGTACTGGAGGTGAACGACGAATCCGATGCTCTAAAGATCAACACACCATAGGAACCTGGAATGTAAGATCTATGAGCCAGGGAAAATTGGATGTTGTTATTGGTGAGATGTCAAGACTAAAGATAGACATTCTGGGGGTCAGCGAACTGAAGTGGACTGGAATGGGCCACTTCACATCAGATGACCACCAGATCTACTACTGCGGACAAGAGGAACATCGAAGAAATGGAGTAGCCTTCATAATTAATAAGAAATTCGCTATAGCGGTGCTTGGATACAACCCAAAAAATGACAGAATGATCTCAATTCGAGTGCAAGGAAAGCCTTTCAACATTACAGTGATCCAAATATACGCCCCAACCACAGCTGCTGAAGAAGCAGAAGTAGATCAGTTCTATGAGGATCTGCAGGACCTACTGGATAATACGCCAAAAAGAGACATTATTTTCATTACAGGAGACTGGAATGCCAAGGTGGGAAGTCAAATGACAACTGGGACCACAGGCAAGCATGGTCTGGGAGAACAAAATGAAGCGGGACGCAGGCTGATAGAATTTTGCCAGGAAAACTCGCTGTGTATAACGAATACTCTCTTCCAACAACCTAAAAGACGGCTTTACACATGGACCTCACCAGACGGTCAACACCGAAATCAGATTGACTACATCCTTTGCAGCCAACGGTGGCGGACATCCATCCAGTCGGTGAAAACAAGACCTGGGGCTGACTGTAGCTCAGATCACGAACTTCTTATTGCCCAATTTAGAATAAAACTAAAGAGATCAGGGAAAATACACAGACCAGTTAGATATGATCTCACTAACATTCCTAGCGAATATACAGTGGAAGTGAAGAACAAATTTGAAGGACTAGATTTAGTAAACAGAGTCCCAGAAGAACTATGGACAGAAGTCCGCGACATTGTTCAGGAGGCGGCAACAAAGTACGTCCCAAAGAAAAAGAAAACCAAGAAGGCAAAATGGTTGTCTGCTGAGACACTGGAAGTAGCCCAAGAAAGGAGGAAAGCAAAAGGAAACAGGGATAAGGGGAGATATGCCCAGTTAAATTCGCAATTCCAGAGGTTAGCCAGAAGAGATAAGGAACTATTTTTAAATAAGCAATGCATGGAAGTGGAAGAAGACAACAGAATAGGAAGGACAAGAGACCTCTGCCAGAAAATTAGAAACATTGGAGGTAAATTTCAGGCAAAAATTGGTATGATAAGAAACAAAGATGGCAGGGACCTAACAGAAGCTGAAGAGATCAAGAGAAGGTGGCGAGACTATACAGAAGATCTGTATAGGAAGGATAATAATATTGAGGATAGTTTTGACGGTGTGGTGAATG